TAAACATAAAAATCCCATATTTAATGTAAAAAGTGCATACATAGAAAATACCTACAGTTATGAACACAAAATTATAGGAGTCAAATCTACAGAATCAAAATTATCATTCCTCAAAATTATTTCCTAGACTCCCAGGACTACCATACTACATTTATTGAAACATTGAAACAAAACTTTTAATCTCTGCACTTAAGTCATTCTGTCTCCACATTTTTAAACTCTCAGTATTTCTCCTTCTCTGTAAAGATCACTGTAACATATGTTTAAATGTTTATGACGTCTGTGTGTCTTGGGTCGGGTTTCCTACAAGCAGCCTCTCAAATAAGGGCTCTGGTTCTAGTGATTGTGCTCCGAGGGTGGTGGGAAAGGAAGCCACCCTGGGAGCCAGGAGATAAGGTCACAGGAAAGAGCTGCTTCAGTCCCCGCAACTGGACAGGGAAGAATGGGACCCCAGTTAGCGCCACCTAGAGGCCAAGTCATACCAGTGAGTCCCTGACCTCCTGCATCTGTGTGCAAGGTCAAAGAGGAAGAATGGAGAAATTAATAACCCAACTGCTAAAAGTTGTCATTCAACGTTTAAAGAACATTTATGTGTCACACACACACACGCACACACACGTCCTAATGAATGCTGCCCAAGTTTTACAACCTTAACATTGTCACATCTCCTTAAGAGCAAGTTAGTATGAATCTATTACTGTAGGTAGCTTCACTGTGCAAAACCTGATTTTCCAATTTGGGTGCAGATCAACTGCTAGATCATCTTGACCATTAGCCAAAGATATAAGTAGAATCTATAAAGAAAACATTATCATAGGTTTCTGATGATAATTTCAAACATCGTGTTTTTAATATGAAAAGATGTGCTCTATAGAGCAGAATGTAAAGTTTTCATGAATTTGTAAAATGAAACAGGTGAAATTTTCTGTGAGATCTGGGTTTTGCGCTATGCCCTTTGTAACTCTGTGTGTTTATTCCTTTCCGCCACTGAAATTATTGTAAACAGTTTTAATTGAGCAATCATTATTGAGGGTCTAGTATATTGCAGGCATGATGCTAAGCTATTTAGACCTACATCCCCCTTTAATCCTTCCCCTAGTCTTTTGTGTTCAATGCTCTTACTTCTATTTAGAGATGAGCAGGGATTTGTTCGAATATATGTGGTAGTTTGCTTTAGCAAAAGACAAAACTGAAATTCACATCCAAGAGGAGGAGTTCAAGGTCGAGAGCTACCTTTATGAGCACTATAATTCTTTGTTTTCAGCCCCAGACTATATGGGCAGACACAGAATGCATCCCTTAAGGGTTTCTATGAAGCCAGAGAAACTTCATGGGTGACTGGGGCTTAATTTTATTTAACAACTAACAGAATTGTATTGAAATTCATAATATGAGCCCTAGTTTATGTCGGTTCAAATCCCAGGTCTTCCCACTAATTAAAAATAAATGAGCCAGGCACAGTAGTGGTTTGGGAAGCTGAGGCAGGAGTATCTCAAGTTCAAAGCCAGCCTCAGCAAAAGTGAGGTGCTAAGCCACTCAGTGAGACTCTGTCTCTAAATAAAATACAAAACAGGGCTGGGGATGTGGCTCAGTGGTCGAGGGCCCCTGAGTTCGATCCTTGGTGCCCCCAATAAAGAACACGTTAATGAGACAAATTTCTTTAATGATCGGGGGTCTCAGTTTTCTTCTTTATAAAATCTAAACCCTTACTAAATAGTTCTTCAGGACTTCATTGATTACATTGTATAAGAAGACTTGAAGGAGTGTGCTATATAGCTTGGTTTTATCCATAATACATTCTGACTCTTGTTACATAGTTTCAATTTTGGTACTTTCCCAACAGGGCCATTGCTGTAACTATGGATTCCTTTATCATTAGTTTTATTATTTACTACATCGTTAATATCTATTAGCCAAATGTGCAAAAAACAAAAAAAAAGTCAAACAGAAAATGATCTCCCCTTACTCCCAGGCTTCCAACAATTTCTACTTACACCGGATGAGTGATTTGGCCTCCATGGCTATGAATCCTTCTTGCTTTCTGACCCTGGTATCATTAAAAAATGTGGTAAGCTGGAAATGGCACTATCAAATTCATTTTCGATGATTTTCTTCCAGAAGCCAAAAGGAAATAAGGATTTCTTTTCATAAAGGATAAAAACCTATCGGAGGAGTTGATATAAACCTGGCTACAGCTCTGGCTTTCTTTTTCCTCAAGGAAAGTGGAAAGGGTACAGTGTACTGAAGTAGAAAGGAAAAACAGAAAATATCTTCAAGGAGAAATATCCTCCTCCCCTCTGACAGCCAAACTGCAGACAAACTTTCAGCCCAATTTTTTTTTTTTTTTGGTACCAGGGATTGAACTCAGGGTCACTCGACCACTGAGCCCCAGCCCCAGCCCTATTTTGTATTTTATTTAGAGACAGGGTCTCACTGAGTGGCTTAGCATCTCGCCATTGCTGAGGCTGGCTTTGAACTCATGATCCTCTTGCCTCAGCCTCCTGGGCTGCTGGGATTACAGGCATGTGCCTGATCCCACTTGATTTTTTAAATATACTTTTTAATTGTCAATGGGTCTATTTTATTTACATATATAAATATGGTGCTGAGAATCAACTCTGTGCTTCAAACATGCTAGGCAAGTGCTCTACCACTGAGACAGAACCCCAGCCCACCCCACTTGATTTTTAAGACAGTATTTTTTTTTTTTTAACAAACAGGGGAAAAATCTCATTCTGCACTCTCATTCTCTTGAATGCAGGGTAAATTAACAGCAAAGTCATGATTAATATGGAAATTAATTAAAAGGAAAACTATAGTTTTCACACACGGAACTAAAAGTGAATTAATGATTTCCCTTTATTACAGTAAATGTGTCAAGACCCTGAATTGGGAGGAATAATTAAAAAGTGTAAGATTAAATGCTTTTGAAACTTTGCCCAGCGCTTATTAACAAAACACTGTGGTTAAGCAGAAACCCGGGCTAGAAACAGAAATTATAAGGGATTGTTACACCCAGAAACTCTCAAATAAGATCTAAGGAGAAAAAAAAAAAAAAGAAAGAACTAAATGATAATAACTTTAAAAGAGAAGTCAGGGGAAGAGATATAGCAATTCAATTATAAACATGGCCCAGGGCAGGAAATCATTCACATCAAGTATCAAAATGGAACGGAGAAGTAATCTTGGTAAACTCAAAGGGTGAATTCAAAGGCAAGAATTCAATATCCCACTAGCCAGCCCTTGGCAGGGATCCATTAAGGAAGATGTACACCAAGCTTCTGCTTGGGGAACCCTGGTTATAAAGGTAGAAAATTCAGTCCGAATGTTCTGATTAAATGAACTGATGACATGGATCCAACAAGATACCTTGGGAAACCACCCACCTCTTCACAATGGGGAAAAGTGACTAGGGTTATTCAGGAATGGATGATTCAAAACCTTCTATGGAAAATAAGCGAGCTGAAGTTCATTTTTTAAACACATGCATTTTTGGTCCCGGTTACAAGCATGTAGGTACCATGACAGATTCTGCAGATTATAAAAATAGAAGCCATGTGAGTTCTAACTTTGAGGAACTCACTACCTAACGGATGTACAGAAAAGTCCAGAAGAGGGAGGAACCGTGTTCACCTGAAAGTTGCCAATCTCTTCAGAGCTAAGAACGTGGAATGAGACGACAGGTATTAAGTATGAGGGTTTCCAGGAGGAGAGGATAGTGCAGACAGAGTTATCCTCTAGTCAGGAATTACAAGATGGTGAGGTCTTGCCTGGTTTATTTCCTGTAAGGTTAATACGCAATAGCAATAAGTCCAAGCACATTCTAAGCTTTCTAAGGAATCTCCATACTGCTTTCCAGATGGGTTGCACCAATTTGCAGTCCCACCAGCAGTGCATGAGTGTGCCTTTTCCCCCCACATCCTTGCCAACATTTATTGTTGACTGTATTCTTGATAACTGGCATTAGATGAAATCTTAGTTTTGTTTTGCATTTCTCTAATTACTAGAGATGTTGAACATTTTTTTCATATATTTGTTGATTGAATGTATATCTTCTTTGGAGAAGTATCTGTTCAGCTTCTTATCCCATTTATTGATCGGGTTGTTTGTTTTTTTAGTGTTAAGTTTTTTGTATATATATATATATATATTTCCTGGAGATTAGTGCTCTATCTGACATGTGTGTGGCAAAAATTTGCTCCCCAAATGTAGGCTCTCTCTTCACCTTATTGATTGTTTCTTTTGCTGAGAAGATCCCACTCTTCTCAGTCTATACCCAAAGGGATTAAAATCAGCATACTAGAGTAAGGCGGCCACATCAATGTTCATGGCAGCTCAATTCACAGTATATATATATATATATACACATGCAATGGAATATTACTCAGCATTAAGAGAGAATAAAATCATGGAATTTGGTGGTAAATGGATGGAGCTGGAGAATATCATGCTAAGTGAAGTAAGCCAATCCCCCCCAAAAAAACAGAAGCTGAATCTTCTCTCTGATAAGTGGATGCTGATCCAAAATGGCGGCCAGCAGGGGAGAATGGAAAAGTGGAGGAACTCTGAATGGGGCCAGGAAAGATGGTGGAATGAGATGGACATCATTAACCTAGGTACACGGATGACTGCACCTGTGATCCAACAGTACATTGTGTGCAACCTGAGGAATGAAAAGTTGGTCTGCCATTGGGTACCATAAATTAAAAATGCATTCTGCGATCATATATGCCTAATTAGAATAATAAAATAAAGTCCCAGCATGAAGCCTGGTTCATAATACACGTGAATTCAAGGTAGTTTGGAAACAGATGAAGCAAGAGCAGGAAGACAATCAGAAGGCGAACAAAATAGACCGAGAAGGCAGGGGATGGGGAAGGGTGCTGACCAGACACAGCACCGAGGGCAACCTGAGAGATGGAGAGAAGTTGTGGAACTATTCAGGAATTTGCTAGAATTTAGAATCCAAGAATTAAAGTACACTTAGGCTGATCCATATGCATGAGGTACCCTGTGATCTTTCTGTTACATATATTCATGGTGCAATGTTCCACTCTGAGTACGTATATCTGTCCCCCCCGAAGCATTTATCATAGCCTCGTGGTGAAGACGTTGCAAATCCTTTCTTCCAGGTTTCTGAAATAAAATGCATGCATAATGTTGTCTGTCGTGGCCTTGGTGAATCAGGGCATTCTAAGTGATATGAGGCAGCCAAGAAGACAATGGATGATCCCATAACATCTCTGGTGTTGGGCATGGGAAATATGGTGCCTGGCTCTCTTGTCCATTGAGATTTGGGAATCACTAGAGGCAAAAAAAAAAAAAATGGTGTCATGAAGAGAAATTGGAATTTTCAAATCAACATTTAACCACAAAAGTGCTACTCGTCTAAGGGCAGAGACGTGTGTTGACAGAAATTATTTTCACTTTCTACCTTTCTCCCCGGAGATGTAGAGAAGAAAGATGAGAGAGATGGAAAATCACATGTAGAGATGATCACCGTGCATTTTAAAATACAGTGAGTTGATGCTTGAAGGCTTAGGCTGGCTAAAAATAATTTATAAAGACATTCAAAAGTCTTATTTACTTTAAGATACAGTCTTAATAATAAAATATATTTTTTTCCATCCTTGATTTCACTGATGTTTTTTTGACTACTTTAAAATTTCAGGAAATATCAACCACAGCGATGAGTAATTATGATTCTTCCATTGGTTTATCTCTACACACAAATGATGATTCTTTAATGTACCCATCAGGCAATCCAATCTCAAGTATAAATGGGTTTAAATGTTGCATGTTTAATTTGCTAAAATTTTACATTTCCCTAGAATAAAACTTTACTTGCCACCCCCACCCAATGCAGCCCTCTGCAATTGAATCTTTCAAAGAATCCTTCTGCTGATAAACTGCAGAGGGTACTGTGGCTGATCTGACCCAGACTTTTCTGTTAATAAATATGAAAGCAAGTCCTATGGAGAGAAATGCAATCAGGATTTTCACACACAAAAAAGTTTTTCCTGAAGGGTAAAAATAATAGTGGTGTTGGACTCCCTTTGATACCTGGGAACAGAAGATGTTCTTGCCACATTATCTTCTTGGCAAAGGCCGAGTTGGACAGACACTCGCAGAAGATAAGAAACACATGAAAGATAGGAGTGGTGGGCCAAAAGTGAAATGAAAGTTATTTCCCGAAGCATTTAAAAAACCACATAGAAAACTTTATGTTTATCAAACCCAAGTCAGGCAACGTTTTAGAAATGGAAAGATAAACTTTTGGTTACAAATGTGATCTGAAAAGTTGGCTTTTATTTATTTGCTTTTTTTTTTTTTTTAACTGTTAAGTCCAATTTTACCTTTTTAGCTTGAGGGATTCTCTAAAATAATGTAAGTCTCGGTAATAAAAGAGAGGCAACATGCTCTCCTTTACTGCAAGCATTGTTTGACCGGAATAAGAATCAGCTGGTTGATAAGCAATTTCGATGCTTTGTAAGTAGGCGTGATTACGCGTACCCGAGTATGAAATGTCACATGAGATTAGCATTGCCCTTAATTATTATCCCTGACTCCTTCATTCCCCCATTTGCCACTGGACTGTTCAGAATGCTGGCTGTTGGTAAAGGAAGATTAACAATTAATAAGAGCTCCAAACCCCAAAGCCTTCAGGATCATCGTCCTGAAGATTTAAGTGTTGAAATAAAACGGAAGGCATATTTAAATGACACCCTGTTAGAGCGTGAGGGCGTCTTAAAAGTAGTTCTCTGAGAAATCAAAGCCACAGGTATATTTTTGGCCTTCTTATGCCAAGATATGTTCCAGAAATGGAGTTTGGGAGAGTATTATCCAGTTTATATTCAGTTCTCAGGCCCCAGAGCGAGTCCTTTGGGGAATCCAGGCAGAAGTTCTCTGCTACTAACTTTTATAAATGTGCATAAATAGGACATACAGGGAAATTTTGTATTGACAAAATACATATTGACAGTTGGTCTCATTACTGACTCTCTGGCTCTGGGTATTTCTACGAATCCCATCTCACAGCTGGGAGCTTCTTTATGGAAGGTGAGCAAGGAGAATATTTGACATTTATAAAGGAGGACATAAAAATGTCAATCTTCTCATAATTTTGAACATTCGTTGTGGCAAAAAAAAAATAATGCATGTTCCTTCCAGAAAACCAAAATAATAATACTCATGATAATAAGGATCAGTAGGCATTAGTGGAGAAAGAAATGAAAATGACCCATTACAGTTAATAGTTTGGTATTTTTATTTCCCCCAGCATCTGCAGCATATGAAGATGGAAACGTTAAGTGGATTTTTTGAATTGATGGATACTTTGGAATTTTCAGAATTTTGTTTCTATTTATTTGTAAATCCATCATACTGATTTTATCTATTTATTTTTTTTTTTAAATTCTAAGTTCTCCCTCTTTGATATGTGAACTTAAATCTGTTGGCCGTGCATTATCCTGGAATTAGGCAAAAGTGGTTAAAAAGCAAAAAGCAATCAATATAGAGGAAATCTTGGGCAACTGTGGACAAGAGAGAAATGGACTAAAAATACCATTTTCTCCCATAAGCCCCAAACTCCTTGGACACACATTGGTATAATACAAGATGCTTTTAACCAGTGACTTGGGCTCAGCCCAGCAAGAGGTTAGAAAACCATCTTACTGAAACTCATCCCAACCCTGCATTAACATCTCCACCATTATGTTTTGAGGCACAGGAAGAGGCACAGGGCACATGGCTGATCCCAGAGGCTTGGGAGGCTGAGACAGGAGGATCACAAGTTCAAAGTCAGACTCAGCAAGCACTGCTTCAGCCAGCCAGGGCATCCCAATAGAAATAAACCAATGTGAAAATTTTCATGTTTAGTCTATAAAAACAACACCAGGCAACACTGAAAAGCAAGGCACTGGCCTTTGTGAGCTAAGATCCTGTGTTTCACCCACAGACAAGAGAGACTGTTCTAGAATTCTTTTTTTTTTTTTTAAATAGCAGGTCAAGCGGAGTTTTCCCATAATCCAGAAAATAAAATACCCAAAGGACTTAAAAACAGCACACTACAGGGACACAGCCACATCAATGTTTATAGCAGCACAATTCACAATAGCTAAACTGGTGGAACCAACCTAGATGCCCTTCAGTAGATGAATGGATAAAAATAAAATGTGGCATAAATACACAATGGAATATTACTCAGCAAAAAAAAAGAGAATAAAATCATGACATTTGCAGGTAAATAGATGGCGCTGGAGAAGATAATGCTAAGTGAAGTTAGCCAATCCCCCCAAACCAAATGCCAAATGGTTTCTTTGATATAAGGAGGTTGATTCTTAGTGGGTTAGGGAGGGGGAGCATGGGAGGAATAGATGAACTCTAGATAGGACAGAGGGGTGGGATGGGAAGGGAGGAGGCATGGGGTTAGAAATGATGGTGGAATGTGATGGACATCATGATCCAAAGTACAGGTATGAAGACTCGAATTGGGTGTCAACATACTTTATATACAACCAGAGATATGAAAAACTGTGGTATATGTGGGTATTAAGAATTGTAATGCAAAAAAAGTACATGTATAAAGACATGAATTGGTGTGAACACACTTTATATAGAGATACGAAAAATTGTGCTCTATATGTGTAATAAGAATTGTAATGCATTCCGCTGTTGTGTATTTTAAAAAAAATAAAATCAATAAAACTAAAAAAAGAAAAGAAGTGACCAGAGAGACCTTCTACATGGGTGAAAGATGCCAAAATAGTTTGGTGTAAATGTCACCAAACTGCAAGGACATTCGCTATCTTACGTGTCACCTACAGCCTCATGAGCATCGTCTAGCTATGCCTATTTTTACATGGCAAAGAACTTCTTTTTAGACCAGGCTTCTTTTGGCTTTTTAAGTCTAATATCATGCTGCCCCACCATCCAGGCTCTATGGAAAATAATTTCCATTAACTTGATGGGTCATTGTCACTACCAGGTCATTAAGGACTAGCCATTGGTTCCCACATGTATTCCATAACCGCTTTTGTCTCACTGGGTTCAAGAATTTTGCAGTGCTTGCCAGTATGCGGCTAGCTTAATTAAAATCAATGGAGTCGAAAGTCAGTGCATTCCCTCTCCCTCCTCTCCCTCTTCCTCTAAAGGGTTCCATTTTCCAAAACACCATAAGCAGATAAACTGGCATGTAGACTTTTTGCAGCTCTACAAAAGTCACACGCCCTTAATTGTATATGTTCAGCTCCCAGCCAAATTGCTTCCCTTTGCATTCACCAGCTAGCCTTCAACAAACCCCAAATCTTTGTATTTTTCATCTGATAGAGGAATGCTCACCCGCAGCTTCTACACTTAAAAGTACTCCAATTACTGGTAAATTGGACTAAAAGAAAAAAAATAAATAAGCATACACCCACACAAAGAATCAGCGCCAAGACTATCACCTTCCCCCAAGCTGAGTTAGTGTTCCATTCTCCAAACGGGAAGGAGCTGGCAAAGATGCTGTTCCAGTTGTTCTCCAGATTTAAACTGAGAAGATAGTCCCCGGATCCACAGGAAAGAATTTCCAGCTGAGTGAAGTGTTCCTATAAGATTTTCAAAGACGCCGGCCATAACATTTCTGGGATTTGCAGACTTGCGTCCAAAGAGAGCCCTTTGGTTTTCTCCATGAAGGTGACAATGACATAAGTGGTAACATGAGTGGCTGAGAGTTATGCTGATTTCCCAGGCTGGGGGTCTCTGCCATGAGCATTTTTGCACCTTGTATGCAACAAAAGAACATTTGCCATCTGCCAGGTATATAACTGCAATGCAGAAAAGTTAAACATTAACTGGTAACTCTGGTTTTGCCCAACTCCAGGGTAATGCTAGTTTCTTGAGTAACTCTGAATTATCTACTTGAACTGGAAGACGATTGCCTATAGCAATACAAAACTCTCATTATTAATTATGTAAAGAAATATAAAAATGGCCACTAGTAGTTTTTATGCAAAAAAGCACCTGTTTCTCCTATTCAACTTCTTCCTTTCAGAAGAAGAAGAACTTCTACTTGAAACATTAAAGAAGATGAAATTTTTGAGAACACATATCCAGTTAATCAAGAAGCAAATTGAACACACTACCTTTGAGATGGCATTAAATTTTGGTAATCTATTTCCAATTTGTCTGTTAACATCATTCTACTTTGGAACCATGGGGAAATGATTTTTTATTCTTCAGTTAGTAGATGAAAAATCCCTAAAAGTTCATATGAAATGCAAAGCTACCGTTTTAGTAATTGTCTGTTACTACAGGGTAACTAA